AGTCATGTGTTGCCTTCTTGTTAAACTGTGAGCACTTGCCCTCCTGCTTGCACCCTTGGCTTCCTGGATTTCCACCAAGATGTGGGTTTCGGGACACGTTCCCTCCCTTGTATCGCGCTCACAAGCCCTGTCGCTCGGTGCTGAGGTTACTCTTCCTCCACTCTGGGTCGGGGCAGGGGCCCGAGGGGACACAGCTATTTTGCGCCGGTTTTCTTGTTTAGCTGGGCACCTCCCACACCACCGCTCTTCTTTTGATGTTACAGCTGCTGCCCTCCCTCATGACCGACTTGCCAATCTTACTCCTTTTATAAGAAAAAAATAAAAATAAAATCCCCCTGCATACATTCAGTTTAAAGTCTCCTCAATCAGACCCAGGGATTTGGGGTGACTATACTCTGGCGCTGTTGTAGACCCAGCGCTGAAATCCACGGGTTGGCCACACTTCCCCACCGGAGTTAGGAGACCCATGACTCTGGGAGCTGCGGGGAGAGAGTCTTCTCATTCAACCCAGCCCCACCCTCGGACGCAGCCACAAGGCTACAGGACACTCTAAACCAATAGCCTATTCTGTAGAACTGTTTAAAGGATAGATGGAAGAAACTCTTCAGCTTTTCTTACCTTTCTAGACAGTTCTGTGGTTGGAAAGTGGTTGTGGAAGAAAATCACATCTAACCTAAGAAAGCTGGGGAGACAAAGTGTTGGGAGGGGCTTTGCTGAGCCAGGAGGCAGCCACTCAATGTCACAGAGGCCATAGCGTGATGAGCGGGGTCCCCTGTGGGATGGTGATCCCTGGCCCAGTCTTTACTGTCCCATGGACAAGACTGCACCGCTCACTTGAGCTAATCTCCCACCCCATCCAGTTTCATGTTCCCAGGAGCATCAGCCCCTGCAGAGGAGCCCCAGAACAGGGGCAGGCCCTGGGATGGGCAAACACCTGCCCAGGTACCAGCAGCAGTCCTCATGATGAATGGATAAAGTTGCCAAGACGTTTAAAATATTGAGTTATCATTTTGTTTCCATTTTGTATGGAAGATGAAAATGTGTTCTCTTTCCATTAAAAAATGTGAGAAGTGTAGTTATTGGGTGCATTGGTTATGTGTGTGCACATCCATGTAGGAGGGGGGTGTCCACCTGATGAACGAACAAGGTGACCCCACATGCAGATAGAGCCACTGGAGTCCTTTCCTTTCCAGATGGCACCTTGGTGGGAAGGGGTGCAGCCTCAGGCCGAATCCATACCACACGGGAGGGCAGAGCCGCCGGGCTTCCCTGCAGCATGGAGGCCTGTGTGCGAGACAAGTCTGCACCAACTTGCATAGTGAGGAGCTGGGAAAGCGCGGCTGCTCCTAATGGGTGCACGAGAGCTGCCGCCCCGCACAGGTACCGGCAGGCGAGGGCGTCCTGTGACCATGGGCCCACAAGGATGTGTGTGGCTGGTGAGGGGCCTTCTGATTGGGATGGCACTGGTGCCAAATCCAGGCCCAGCTTTATGACGCGACTAATTGGAGCTTGTTGTGCAGACAGTGAAAACTTCCCCAGATGGTGAGTTTTGTCCCAGGATCAAGTCACAGATCTGTAGCAGTGCCTGGGACTCCGTGGCCTGTGTGAGTCTGGCAAACCTGGTCCCCAGTGGTGGGTGGAAAATGACCCCTCAGTCCCATGCATGTAGAGATGCATCAGCGTGTTGAGGCCCTCTGGGTTAGTCCACTCTGTACTTTCAGAACGAAGACTGCACAGGGCAGGAGGAAACGGGCCCATGGAGAAGCCCCTTGGCTCAGAAGCAGAGATGAGTCAACAGGATACAGCCTAACCACTCCTCTTCCTAGGAGACCCCTTGGAAGCGGTTCGCCTGCCTGGCTGCTGCAGGGTTGCCGGGGATGCTGAAGCTTTGGATGAAGCATTGAGGACTTTCTTCTTTGAGGCAGTTCTCACTTCTCCTGCCATCTGTTGAAGCTGCCTATCCTGATGGAAACTTTCTGCCTTCACTTTCAGCACCGGCCTTGGGCTGGGGTTGCTAAGGCATGAGGGATGCATGCTGCCTCCCCACCCTCAGTCTCCGTCTCGGCCGTGAAGGGGGCATGGTGCGGTCACTTGTAAGCAGCCTCTCAGGGACACGTGCTGGTGGCCGCCCAGTGCTCAGTGACATGTGGCACTGCTGAGGGGCCAGGCACCGTGCTCCTGGCTGCTGTGGCCCCTGATGAGAATAGGGATCCTGGAAATCTACGCTGACATTCAGATCAGGGCCCCATCTCTTCTGGACATGCATACAACAACCTGTTGGTGCCTGGATTTCCTGCTTTTGAAAACAGTTTTCAGTACCAACTCAACAGTCACAGGGGGACTAAGTGAAACACTCCAGGCCTGTTCCTTTGGGGAAAATGGAATCATTTGAGCCCGGCCTCAGCATTATTGCTGCCATGATTGCTGTGTAATGATGTCCCAAATGCAGGCGCGTGGCAGGTGTGTTTAGAACGTGCTCCCATGCCAGTGAGTGAGATGAATGGAGGGCCGCGCTCACTGTGCCCTGCTGCTCTGTCTTCCTCTAGACCCTGTCAAGTGGGCAGAGAACACTGGGGTCCAGGAAGCTGGCTCTCAGGTATTTGGAGAGCCCCACGGAGGGCTGTGGGAGGGAACAGGCACTGGTTTGTTCTCTGAGTAGCGTTTAGGAGGAAGCAAATGAATACAGCCATAAAATTGAGCAAAACAGCTGAGCCTGGTTGGAGGAAACATTTCAAAGGAAATAATCCTGGATTTAGATCACACATGTTGGAGCCCGGAGTGAGGTTTTTCGTAACCTTCCTCTGAAAGGCAGATATTTGTAGTGGAAACGCTGACAGCCATGTGCCTGGGCCGGCTCTGAAGGCAGCTGGAACCTGCAGCCGTCCTGCTCCCCTGCTCCTGTGATCTGCTCCTATGATCTGCTCGGCCTGCCCGGAGCAGCCCTGTGATGGAGCCGCCCTTTCTCATGCCACTTAAACTCAGCAGGGCCTCTGGGTTTTTTTGTTTTTGTTTTTTTAACTCATCAAGGTCCTACCAGCTGCACATGCTAGCTCTGTGTCTGGGTGAGACCCGGCGTCTCCCTTCACTGGTTCACAGCATTGAGGGCAGTCTCCTAGACGAGACTGACGTCAGACTCAACTCCTGGTAGGTGTAGGGGACAGGCCCCTCCTGGCACCTGCTGGCCTCCCATGCCAAGGCTTAGCCTATATCCTTAGCCTATGCCAAGTGTACACCCATGGCTGGCCACAGAGCGGACGTGACTCTGCCCCAGGTAGCCTGCACTTCCACAGCGGCTCACGTGGTCCTTCACTTGCCTGCTATGGTCTTCGCACCTTCATGGATTTCACTGACTCACTGCCTCTCTCCTCTTCCTTTCTGAATCCTGTAACTACTTCCCGACAACTGCTGAGTCCCGTTTTTCCCATGAAGGCTTCAAACTGCCCCCCAGTGGCCTACCTGCAGTTTTTGGAAAGCCCTTTGGCCACTGGCCTAGGTGCCTCTGTGGTGCCCTACAGCACACAGCCCAGTCAGGCTGCTGCAGAGACCCTGTGGGCCCCAAACCCAAAACAGTACCCTGGCAGGCAGAATGTGCCAGCCCTGCACACAACCACCCCACCCTGCTCAGTTTCTGCCTGGTGAGGAGAAAACTCAGAGACGACTCCTGCTTCCTCCTGCCCCGAGCTCTGTGCTCCTCCAGGGAGCTCTGCCCAGAGGGCAGCTGGCATTTACTCAGTTTCTTCTGCTACTTCTGGAAAGGTGAGGGAGAAAGAGTGGAAGCTCACAGGCATTTACCCAGCCTGATGGCATTTGCTTAACCCAGCTTGTAGCAATCATCCCATGCTGATTCTAGTATCATATTTTCTTCCCAGCCACCTCTGTGTACACAGTGAAGAGTTCCCTCTGCTTTATTCTTTCAAATCACTGCCAGCTCCCCATATAGGTATGCACTCAGGCTGAGCTGAGTACAGCCTAAGAAGGAAGGGGCTCCATTGGGCAACCAAGTGGGAAACTTCCTCCAGGTGTAGGGTCAGGGGACGCTGTCACTCACAGGTGGTGAATTGACCTACCAGGCCCCAAGCACCAGCCCAGGGAGCCTTTTCTCACAGCTGGTACCTCCCCAGGCTGTGTAATTCTCGGACCTTCCCCCAGTGGGTGTGCCTGGGCTGCCCCTCCCAGCCCCTCCAGGCGATGCCGTAGCCCTGAGAGGAAGGATGTGGCTTAGCCGGCCAGGAGGGTTTCTTCCCTGGTTGCTCATGGACTTGAACCTTCATGCCACCTTTCCTGATAAGCATCACCCAGGATCAGAGTTTCGTCAAACTCTTCGCTGCACAAAATGCCTGCTATCTTGTAGAACAGGTGGGAGATGTGGGAAGGATTTATGTCCTGAGACTCGCCAAATCACTCAAGATGACAGATGATTGACACTTCTGGGGTGCACTCAATGCCAGCTTCTGGGGCTTGACGGCCTGAGGGGAGGCGGTTACTGAAAAGAGCTTCCATGGTTCATGCTGACCAGAGCAGACTCCCCTGACACAGCTGGTCACCAGCCATTAGAAAGTGCATTCCAGTCACATGCTTTGAAATCTCCTCCGGGGACCTGCTGTTGTGGAGCATGCAGGGCCAGCCCACGTCTTCTGATGCGGGGCTTCCTTCCCGTCTTGTCCCTGGTCCCTCACTGTCTGCAGGGCTGCACCATGCACACCAGAAATGGCCAGCAGTTGAAAAGATTGGGGAGACAAGATAGTGGCCCTTGGAAAACACTTCCCTCTCTCTGAGTTCCCTCTCTCCGTCATGGCTCCTGGGGTTTTTGAGCTGCTCCAAAAACCTTGTCGATAAAACCTATGCCATCCCACCAGCCTCTGCTGTGTTTTCCCTGCTCTCTGACCGATTTGAACACGTTGCCAGGTTGTGAATGGGAACGTAGCCTGGAGAGTGCAGAGGGCTGGTGTGGCACGTGACCATGATTTAATGAAACCCCCGCTCTCCCCTTTCTCACTCAGCTCAACGACTCCGCCAAGCAGCTCATTGAGATGGACAAGCCGTGCCCAGCCGCTGCATCCAGCTGCAATGCCTCCCTGCCCTCTGACTCCGGCGCTGTGGCCAGCATGGCCCCAAGTCCCACTTTAAGCAGCTCAGGGGCGGTCAGTGCCTTTCAGCGGCGTGTGGATGGCAAGAAGAACACCAAGAAACGCCACTCCTTCACCGCGCTCAGTGTGACACACAGATCCTCCCAGGCTGCCAGCCACAGGCATTCCATGGAAATTAGCGCTCCAGTGTTGATCAGCTCCAGCGATCCCCGAGCCGCGGCCAGGATTGGAGACCTTGCTCATCTGTCATGCGCTGCTCCCACCCAGGTAACATCCCGCGGGCCAGGGCAGGCATCCCTGGGTTCTCTGGGGTTCTATCCTCAGCTCCATGTTCAGTGCTCCCTGTTCCTCAACTAGCATAGAGGCCACCCAGAACTGCCCTTTGGTGTTGAGCGGGGTTTGTCCCTTGCTCCCTGGCACTGCGTCCTGCCCCCCATCAGAAGCATGGAGAATGGTGAGTGTGCCTTGCCTGATTCAGAAGATGGCCTAATGGTGTGTAAGCTGATTCTCAGTGGTCCAGGGAATGTCTGAGTAATACCCACCCACCTCATGACAAGATTTTTCCCATGTCATTTGACTTCTGGATGTCTGATTATGTCCTGGAAGAGTCTTGGCTTAGTGCTAGCATATTTTTAGCATCTCTGCAATGTTTGCTGATTTCCCTTTCAAGAGAAAGAAAGAGCCAGAGCTCAGAACCAGAATAAACTATTGTTGAGTACTTTCGTTACTGTTGTTTCTACAGATACCTTCTATTTCTAGACTCCATTTCCACTAGTTTTTTTGTAAATTGAAGTAACCAAAGCAAAGCATTTAAAGGCTGGGCACAGTGGCTCATGCCTGTAATCCTGGTGCTTTGGGAGGCCGAGGCAGGAGGATTGCTTGAGGCCAAGAGTTCAAGATCAGCTTGGGCAAGACTCTGTCTCTACCAGCAGCCAATCAATAAAACAAAATAAATTGATTTAAAAATTTTAAAAATAATGTACAATATTTAGTAAGTACTTGCCTGTAACTCTGCCAAGACCCTTCACAGTGCCATGCACAGGGCAGGAGTTGGGCAAGTTTCCCTTTTACGAATGCAGAGACTGCAGCCGGAGATGGAAGGGGCTCTCCAAGTGCCTGACAGGGCGACCCTGCATTCACACTCCTGTGCCATTGTCGTCAGACCTCCTCCGGACTGTGGCAGGTGTGCATGGGTGAGCCCAAGGTGCCCACACGATGGTGCCCACACCATTTCTCCCTGCGCTGCTGGTTTCCACCCAGTGGCCCACCCGCCACCACACTCCACATTCCCTCCAGAGTCCCTCTGGCTGCCCTGGACACGCCTCAGAGCAAGGGCGCTAATCTGCAGGGAATCCTGGGGGAGACACCCATAAGCAACTGGTTGAGAACAACTGTCTTGTTCAAAATCACAGTGAACTCAGACAACTTTACACAGAGAATTGTCTTAAAAATTGCCGAGCTTCTGGAGAAGGGCTGTGTGATCTAGATGTGCTACATCAGCCTACACACACATGCACACATGTGCGCACATACACACATTACATGTACACTTGAGCACATGCACACCCGCACATATGCACTCCCATGCACATGTGCACTCACACATACACATGGCACACACATATACCTGCACACACACACGTGCACTTACATACACCGCCATCCACATGCACACCTACACATACACACACACACGTATACACATATATACCTGTGCACACATGTGCACCTATATGTATCCCCTCCACATGCACACACATATGCATGTGCAAACACATGCATACACGTGCATTTACACACCCCTCCAGATGCACACCTGCACATACACATGCACACACACATACATATACACATATGCACCTGTGCACACATGCACACACTTGTGAACTTATATGCTTCCCTTCCACGTAAACACCCACACATAACACCCGTGCACACATGTAGACATTTATACATGCACACACATATTGGTGGATACACACTCACCTGCCCGCATACGTGTGCGCACACACACAAATGCTAGCTCTCATCGGCGGCTGAGACTGTGGTCTGGAATGGGTGCTGTAGTATCTGGAGCTGTAACCGTGCAGTCATCTGCCCCCATGGTTACCCCACTGCCTGGAAGCTCCCACAGCCTGTGCCTGGGAACGTTCCCCAAGGAACAGCCACTGGGGCTGCTGGTGCATTTTCCTTATGGGGAAAAGCACAACCTTGGTCCCAACCCTAACTCCACTCCTGACCTGGGCTAAATTCTTCTTGAGCACCTCCTATTTGGAAATTCCTGGGAGGGGCATGGTAACTCAGTGTCGGACCAGTGTGGCTGTGCTCCCTGCGTGTGTGAACATCTTGGGGGTAAAGCCACAAGCAGTGGCTCTTGGAAGAGTCTTGCTTATTCTTTGCTCAAACATCCTGGACACCGGGCAGGTTGTCATGGTAGTGCTAAGACTCGGGGAGCTCACCCTGTTTGTCACCAACGACAAATTGTGGTAACTCTGGCCCAGAGCTGGGGTCCCTCCTTGGCAACCTGAGCAGCTACTGGCGATGTGAACAGTCGAAAGTTGTGTTGTGAAACAAATTTGGCTCAAAGGGAAGTTGCGGCAGGTTTGAGGGGTGCCCCTAAGGAGAGGACTGAGGAGCAGCGGCCTGGCCCTTGTGTATCACTTGGGTAGGTCTTTTGTCTCCTTCCTCCTAGAAGAGCAAAGGCCACTCTCACTGTAGTCGGGGACCCCCATCAACCAGAGGGAGGGCTCTTCTTCCTGATCACCAGCCAGAGGTGGCCCTGGAACTGCCAGGCCAGCACCTACCCCCACAAGGGTCTGGCCTGTGTCCTGTAGTTTGTGGGTAATATGTCCAAAGCTGCCTTTGGTGTTCCTTGGAGTTCTAAAAAAGGAGCCCACAGGGCCCATGAACTTTGCAAAGCTGCTGCTGTGTCCCAAGAGGGCCTGGGGCATCTTCTCCACCACTTTTCCGCAGGCCCCTGAGATGTGGGCTCAGCACACGAAGGTGCAGGATCTGGTTTCCTCTCCTTCCCGCATCCTCACCTGCACCAGTGTCTCATGTTGCCATGGCCTCTGTGTTAAAACAAGCAGAGGGAACATTTCTAAGCCATCTGCAGTCTGATGTCTACTGGGGCAGGAAGGGAACAGATGTTTCTATTAATTTGCATACTACCTGGCTCCACAGGGATTGGAATTAGGGATTAGTGGGACTGGGATCCTGGGATCCATTTACCAGCAGTTCGACTTGAAGTGAAAGTCATGGCCAGGCTACTGACTTTAGTTTGGGTCACCTCAAAGGGCAAGAGGTCAAATAAAGCAGATGCCGCCTGTCTCCCTGTCCTGATTTAATTGAGCTGCTAGGAGACGGAAGGGGCACCTGGTGCAGTTGTGAGCTTTGCGTGCTGCCCTTGCGGGCTCCATTGTGCCGCTATGGTCTGGATGTGCCCAGAGACCAAGCCCTCCCAGTCTGCCCCTGCTCTGCACTGCCTTCCTGGTTCCTACCACCTTGCTGGCCATGTGTGTCTGACCAGGAAGTGCCTGGCCTGAGGACTGGCCTGTGGCAGCCAAGGCGAGCCAGACTCAGGTCCTTCTGTGACCACAGTGCTTCAGGGATTCTCTTCCCCACCATGCTGGCCACACCCCGGGAGAGGGAGCCCAGACCCAGGATTCTGTGGTTAGTGGGTGGCATGGCACGTCGGCTTTGATCATCGGCCTGGAGAAATTCAGCATTGCTGTATGCATGCGCTCATCCACAAACAGAGGCCTCTCGCATGCCGGCACTGCCATCTTGGCAAACGTGGAGTGGACAGAGCAGGAAGGCCTGCAACCCCAGGCTCCTTGGTGCCCACAGCATGGGGCAGTGCTGGCCCCAGCAAGGGCCACTGCAGCAGCCAGTCCCCTGCCTCTCATAGTCCCCTCAGGACCCAGCGTGTCCATTCAGGCTGTGATAAAGAATATCTTGACTGACAGGATGAATTCTTGGCACCTGGCGACTGGGGCCGTAGGGGAAGACCGGCTGGTGAAGTGTGCGAGGCTGGTCATCTGGACCAGGACTTTTGGGCCATGGGGAGCAGAGGATTTCAGATCGTGCATTGTGTGTCCCAGTGCGTTTACTTTTGGGGTGAGCATGGTATGGTCCCCGACGGTTATTGAATCCTCATTGAACACTGCACTGGGTTCTGTAGAAAGGTCCAAACAGCAGGTGTCTGCCCTGGAAACGCAGCCTGCTGGAGTAGAGATGAGCCGTTTGCTGGGCACTGTGCTGTCCAATGCATCGACTGCAGTTGATCCACAGTCAGGGTTGGTGGGGGGATGTGGATGAGGAAGCCCCTCAGCTGGCCGAATTAAGGGACTCTCGCTGTAATGGACTGGTTTTGCTCTTTCTTTGGTGTTGTCTTAAAATAGAAAGGAAGAAAGCTTCAGAAATGAGTCTGAAGCACAGAGGACACTTCCCTGCTTCTCAGAGTGCCTGAGCACCGTGAAGCCTGGGCGCACAGCCTGAGAGCCCCGTGCTGGCCGAGGCTGGCCTCCTCCCTGCGGCTGTCGGGGATGCATCTGTGGTTTGCCTGTCCCCATCTCTCCTTCGGCTTCCTCTGCTGATCTCACTTTCTCTGTCCTGGCTTGCATCACTTCTCAGCTTCCCCAGTTGCGTGGCCCACCTCACCCCACAGTGAGCCAGTCGTTCATTATTTCTACTTCAGAGATGAGGAAGCTGAGGCCCCCCGGGCGGAGGTGATGCCTCAGGGCCGTGCTTCCGTGCCAGCCCTCCCTGGCCTTCCAGGGCCCCACCCTGGCTGTTAGGAGTGCTGTCAGGACACGGATAGCACTTAACTTTCCAGTTTGCTCTGTAAAATGCACAGGGCTGACCTCAAGCCAAAGGAGACGCGCAGGAGAATGCCAGCAGGTCCCTGCAGTGCTCCGTAAAGTGCCCCTGCTTTGCTTTTCTTTTCGGCTGAGGCCAGGCTCAGTGCAGCACACAGGACAGGGTGCTGGGGTGGAGGTGCGGGCTCCCACTCTCTAGCTGTGTCACCCCAGGAGAGTTACCGAACCTCTTGGAGCCCTGCAGTTAAGAGCCAGCCTCCAGAGCCAGACGGCCAGGTTGAGCACTTTTCCTTGTACCTGCAACCTTGGGAAAGCTGCCTGACTTCCCAGAAACTCCGCTTCCTGTCTGTTAAATGGAGCCAAGCTGTGCCCTCCCCACCCCCGTGGTCGTTGCGAGGGTGGACTGAGGGGGTGCGTGCGGGCCGCCCTCCTTGGCAGGTGTACCTT